CCAGGAAGGCGTTCGATTTTCTATGTGCTGTGGGGTAAAAGGAGATTGAAATTCATTTCAATTAAGATTTTCTGGGATTAAAAATAAGGGGAATAATTGATTCAAGTTTTTAGAATTTTTCAATTTCAATTGTTTTAAATCCATCTTAATTGCTAGTACAATTTTCCCTCTACTCCTCACTTTAATTTAATATTATCCAGATGAATTTCCTCCTTTTATAATGAACATAAACCTTCTGGTATTTACTGTCACATTTCGTACAGTGTTTCGGTCTCCCACTTGTCCTGCATTATTGATTCAATATTCGCTGTTCCAGCTGGCTGACATTTGGACAGCTTTAATGGTTCGCTCAAGTCGAGTTGACACAGAGAGTATGTATGACACACACTCACACACGTTGCCCACTTTGCTGGCCTGGCCAACTGGGTCAATGGTTAAGTTCATTGGACGAGCAAAGGAATCGAATCGAGCAACGTTAATTGAATCAGCATTATTGAAGGGTACTTAACAAAGGACCATATGAAACAACACCTCGGAATGGCCTCAAGTCCTGCTGCGGTCCAGCGCCCCCGCTGCTTTTGGGCCACTAAAGTATTTACGGTCAATTTTACATTGCCGCCGCTCTCGTGCGGCGAGCAATTTGGCTGAGAGCTTAGTTTATGCCGCATAAAAGATCAGACTGGGCACTTGGCTAATTTGTTGGCCTTGTTTCACAGTTTTGATGGCTCCATCCGGCCATTAAAGGGCCCGGAACTTGAGCTGAGCTACGAGTAACTGTGGTAGTTCTAGTAATAGTTGTATTTTACATTTATTTTTAACCTTTTTAAAGGAGTTTTCTAGGTAGGAAAATATTACCTAGTCAAGGGATTTCCTTGAGAAAAATATTCTTTAGAAATAAAGTGCCTAAGGTTACATCCTTTCTTTAATTGTAATATTTCCTTTTAGTTTATCAGTAAAGGTAGTTCCTATTTATCTCCCCCTGAGTGTCCCTACTTAGTTGTAGTAATTTTCTCACCGTGTGGCTGTGGCCTCCGCTGCGATAGCTTGCGGCGCTGTGGCGGCGTCTCCGTCTCACTCAGCCGGGGCTCGCTGGTGCAGTAGGAGCGCGTATCCTGGAGCGTGTGCTGCTGTTGCTGCTGCTGCTGCTGGGCCTTGGTCCTCTGACGAACCTGCAAAAGGGAGGAGGACAGTGTTAAAAAAGCAACTGACAGCCATCGAAACTAAAGTATTCATCGCGTTATCCTCGAAGTCGGCAGACTCAAGGCAAACGCTTTGATTTATGGACTGCCGCAGGATGTGCCCTTGCCAATTGAGTGAGAAATTAAATTGCATTTCTCGGTTGCAGGCGGCCAATCAAGACACACACACCACACACAAATCAAATTGCATTTGTTTGTCCTCTGCGAAAAACAGCAAAACAGAAAGCCCTGCCAACCACCACCAGACCATCCGTCCACACACCCACCGCTCTTGGCTCGCCAATGCCATAATTTATCGGCTGACTTGACACTTGGCACTTGCCAGCGGCCTCGTGCGAAGGGCTCTCTTGGTGGTGCTTAGGGATGCAAAACGAGAAGAAAAGTATCATAAAAGATATAACTAGAAACCTATAAGTAAACCTTTGAAAAGATACTTGAAAAGTATAGCTTGTAACATATAATAATTGTATAATATTTATTTTCCTAACATAACTTAAATCCAAAGCAACATTAAAACAGTATATTTAATAAATTTCCCACCTCAATAAAATTCCAGTATTAATATATATCTACCTCAAGTGCCATCCCTGTACCTACTCCACCCCTGATCACAGAGTAACGCTTAAGGGATTTCCCTCAAATGTCAAGGTTAAACGCCTTTCGCCTCGCTTCCTCGCGCCGGACACTCGAACTGCAATCAGCGCCGCCGCTTGTTTCGTTCGCCGCAGAAAGTTTCCTGCTCACGTCTCCATGTCCGGGCATCCCGCCGAGTAGAAGGCGCTGTCCCAAATCCTTCAAGCCACGTCCAAGCGCCTGTCAGTTTGCGGTGTTCCAGGCGGTGTTGGAGAAAACCTGCTGACGACGGTCGGTGTCGGTGTCGGTAACGTTGTGTGGGGGTAAAACTAATTTCAGCACCTGTCTCAGCGATGTAAGCTTCTTGTTCAGTTTCTTTGGTCCAGTCAGAGTGTGTGTGGTGGTGTGTGGGCCATATTTATAGTCGCATGCAAAATGTGTCCAACTTTGTTAGCCGCTTCCGTTTGCCTTGGCCCAAAAAGCAGCGGAGAAAATACTTTTCGGGGTGTTTTCCACCAAATTACTTGGTAATTAGTAATTATTAAGTTACCGGGCTTAGGCTGTTGGTATTCTCGAATTAATAGCTTGGATAAAAAAGCTAAATCCCTGAATTTGTTGAAGTTAAGAGAGAGGTAATCATAAAGTACTTTACTTCTACAAAAGTTATTTTCTATGTTTAAGAAAAATCAATATAAAAAGTGCTCTAAGATTAAGAAAAGTTGTCCAGAATTAAGAAAAAGCTAACATTAATTGAAATTTCAAACATGTGTGTATATAATTCCCAACTGGTTCTAACATTGTGACATGAAGTGACTGTTACTGGCCTTAAGTATATATATAGTTAGTAACCCTAAAAGAAACTTAATTCCTTTTTTCTTAAATCTAGAAAAATAAACTTGAAATTCCCAAAATGTTCTCTTGTAAAATTCCCTCGAGTTATGCCTTTAAATTAATCTAAAAATTCGAAATCAGTGTATCATAATCCCCCTTAGTTCCTTTACAGACCCAACACCGGGGTTTTCCCCAACGCTGAAAAAACCACACGCCGGAAGCGTTTGCTACGTGGCGTCGCCCGTCAAGTGGCCATGGATTTGGGCCACGTCGAGTTGCTGTTGCTGGTCAGGAAGGCGGCCAAATCCGCTGGACAGTTGCTGGTGTAAAGAGGGGGTTTCGGGACCATTAGGCGAGCTGTCAGTGTAAACGTTTCTTGTTTATTTAGTGGCCGCTCTTTTGCGCTTTTTACGGTCCTCCCCCGGCAAGGGCTTCTGCTCCTTCCCCATCATGCGTGTGTGTGTGTGTGTGTGTGCATTTATCCTGGCATTTCACGGGACCTCGTGACCAGTAATTGCTCTTCTTTCTTTGGCCAAATGTTTGCATGGTCTACTTTGCTGGCTTAATCAAATATTACGACTGAATGTGTACGGACCGTGATCCGTACCGGATGCAGCAGCGGTTGACTGACGATGGGAGGACGCTCGCTTTTTCGCCTCGGAAATTAATTGCTTCCTGGCTTCAGTTCATTGACCAGGCGTCGCTCTGTCGTCCTGCTGGAGTCTTCAATTTGTAGCCGCTTAATCCCCAATTAGTCCACTGGGTCTGCTCTGATAATTTATTTTCTTAATGCGCTGCGTTTTACGGTCGGGTCTTTTTATGGGCCACTAGGGTGACCAGCATGTGTGCAATGAATATTTTATGTTTAATATCTATAAATGGTGATCTTAACTCGGACTTGAAGTATAGTTTTTAAAATGTTTAAAATATATTTTTAGCCTGATTATTTAATGTTTATTTAAAGTAATATTAATTCATTGTTCACAGCTTTGGCCAAACTCTTCAAACACTTTTTTTTTAAGTGTCCACATACTGACTCCTTTAAAGTGTTCAAATATTGGGTCATTTTTATTCTCTCTTTACTCTACAAATATTAAAATTAAACTATTTTTTTGGTCTTATATTACCAGCGAAAAATTCATTGCAACTTAAGCTTTCATTTTGTTGATTTTAATTCAATTTTGTGCCATTCCTACTTGCCATTTCCTCGTAAAAATGGTAATTGTGTACACATTTTCTGTAGTTTCATGCAGTTTTTGTTGAAAAACGTAGAATATTTTTGCCTATTTGCGGTCGTAGTCTTTCTGGTTGCATTCTCTTGTTGTTTTTGTCAACAATTTGCCTAGAATGCGTGTGACTTTAGTTCAGAGAATGCCGTGCAAAAACCAAAATAGCTTTACAGTGCGAATTCTCAGTGCGGCTTCATTGCTGTCGTTGGGGTTTTTCTTATTGTTGTGGCTGCTTGTTCATCTTCTCATTAAACTTTTGCGTCTGCAGATGAAAAGTGCCAGCGACTTATCGACATCTCAACATCATCATGGCACTGAGCACTCCAAGTTTATTTCTTGCCTCCCGCCGATTGTATCCTTCGCCACTCCCTCTGGTTCATAAACAAAAGTCATTTCAACGCGGCGTCTTGCTTGATTTTTTTGTTCTTTGAATACTCTTTCAGAGGGTTGTATTAATTTTATAAAGATTTTGTGAAAATTAGATTAGAAATTATTGTTTATTAAGAAAGAGGTATTGGTAATAGATTAATTTTAAATTTTGTAAATAATTTTAGTGAGAAAGATTTGCAAGGGTACAACAAAATTTTCTCCTCTCCAAATTTAGACATTTCTCCTGCGGTAGCTGTGAACTCATTACAACCACGCCCACCTAGCGCACATGCCGCCCCCTAAAAAGCCGGAGCATGTGTGCGTCCTGCTGACTTGAAAAGTTTTTCCATATAAATTACCAGCTTGGGGCGCATCGAAGGCGATGAGAAGAAGGACATTTTTAGCGCGATGCGCGTTGCACGATGTGCGATGTGCGATGCTGCTGCGCTGCCTTTTTTGTTGCCTCGTTTGCTTACTAATAATGTCGCTGGCAGAGAGGCAACAGGGGAAAAAAAAGGGGGTGATTCACCGACGGCAAGGATACACAGCTGCCAGGACAATTCATACACAACGTATGTTGACACGTGGCTGGCGTCCTTTTGTCTGGGAACAGCAGCAACCACCCTCAGAAATTGAATTTGGCCAAGATATAACTCAATTCACACGGTCTCGCTGTATGACGCTGGATTCACAGAACGAAAGGCTACCTGCTTCAGAGCTTCCTTGGCAGGAAGAGTCGAGCCAGCGACTTGAGATTTTTGAAACTTGGGAATCTAAGATCCCCAAAGCAGGCTTTGTCTGCAACTTCACAACCAAGCCTATTTTCCAGTTTATTTCATTAGCTTTTATTTAACAGGACATTAACATCTGCCTAAAAAATGGAGAAATTGGTCACCATGATGATGACCAACAAACGTGAGTCGCGCTTTACGGTAACCGATAGCATGGCCAAGTTGGCGTTGTCGCGATTGGATTCGATTTGCAGTGCGGAAAGCAACGAGAGGACAATCATCAAGATCCTGCTGTCAATTGAGGAAAAGTTTCGTATTTATTTCGAGTCCAATCAGAAGGAGCTGGAGCTGCAGAGGATTGCTGCCCAGACGTTGTGGCACTTGGTCCAGCGCTATCTGCTCGCCGTGCAAGTGGACACCAGTTGCATGTGCCCGAAGATCTACGAGATTGAGACGGAGGAGGCGATCAGTACCAAATATTATATGCACTACCAGGTGGGTTATTAATATCTCTCTCTATATATTTTATATTTTAATATAAGAAACTATGGTGACAGGTAATTGTGGGCTCCAACAAAAGCCAGCATGTGGGCATCCATGCCCTGCGGCCCTTTGTCCTGGCCTTTCGCCGTGCCTGCGACAATCTGGACATGGAGGACGAGACGCCTTTTGTCATGGGCGATGCCTTCCATAAACCAATTAAATTCTTTATCGACTTTGTGGACGAGATCTTTAACTACTTCTACAGTGGACACTTGCAGCTGGAGTGTGCTGCCCGCCTGCTGGATCCCGGCAATCTGAAGAGCCTGGAGTATTATCAGGAGCTACTGGCCCCCAACGAGGACTTTAATGAGTACTTTCTGCACAATCTTAGCTACTGCAAGTGCCTGGGGCAGCCGCTCAAGTGCGCCTCCTTCCGGGATCATTTCAAAAAGGAGAAGAAGGACATGTTTGAGGCCAGTAGGGAGAAGGCCAAGCTGTCGCGTTGCGCTAGGCGCGTAGAAAAGATGTCAAAGCCAAAGTCCGAACCGCCAGCCGTGAAGCGTCGAATCTCGCTTTTCAACTCTCCAAGAGAGCTGAGCGTTCGGGAATCGCTCAACTCGCTGTATCAAAGGCACGTTTCGCTGCAGCATCATCGAAGCCTAAAATTCCTGTTGGGCAACGTTATGAGCGTTCAGCACATTCATTAATCCGATCCACTCGAAATTTCTGTTTAATTCAATTAAATACACAAAGTGCATCTGCTGATGGTCCTTGAGCACTCGTATAAACTGGATTTCAGGTGTGTTTTCACCTCAAAAGTCGAGAGAGAGAGAGAGAGAGAGCTCTCAATTGAAAGCGAGTAAAGTTTTCATTTCACTTGAAACACCGCCAACTTTTCTGTATCAGTTTCGAGTATGTGAAGTATTTTTCTGTTTAAATATATTAAAATTAAATGGTAGAATATTTTCCTGGGTTGGGGAATAAGTGTACTATTTATAACTATAATCCTTTGGTTATGCTGATCCTGAAAAAGGTACAACTTTCGTGGTAAATGGGGGAGGTATGTTCCTAGGAAAGTCTTTATAATTCAGACGGAGCAGCCTATGATTCGGGCACCTGAATCTCTTCCTTACCATCTGCTGAATTGGGAATGCATACATTCCTTATCCATCATTCTTGTAACACAGAATTCCACACTGAGATCGTTTACCTTATGGTTAAGGTTGTAAGTTTTTGGCATTTGTATCTTTTAGACAAAAAGATATAATATAAAATCTTCTCCAGTAATAATTCCTTAACTTGAAAGATTTAAAAACCAAATTATTGACTTACCATGTAAATGCTTACTTTACGCCATAAAACTAATTCCCCAATTCACCCAATTATGTGCAAATTATAGACTACAATATATTATATTTAAACAAAGCCTTTTTGCATGTGCGTGCCTAGCTGATGGACTAAATGACGATGCTTTCTACTTTTATTTATAGTGAGAAACGTGCATTTAATGAAGTGACTATAAATAAATCAGATTCGCTTTTTTGCTAAACCAAAAAAACAATGCAAAGTGACGGGGCGAATGCAAATGCTAAATTTGTATCGCATGACTGCGTCGCCGTTGTATCCGTCCGTACTATATTACGTATACGCGGCGTATGCGTAATATAGAACACGTATACGCCCCTTGGTACTCACCGATCTGGCGCCGGAGGTGATGCGAGCACTCTGAGAGCGCGTTGCCGGCCGGCGTCTTCGATAGCCAGGCGTACCGCCCTCGGGCGTGGCACTGCCGGAGGCACTGGGCATGCCATGGATGACCGTCTCGATGCTGGCGCCGGTGGCACAAATGGAGGCGCTGCGCGTCTTCTTCTGCATGCGATGATGCATCGGGGAGATGTCGTCCACCATCCTGTGGCCGTCTGGGGAAATTCCACTCGTCCTCGGCTTGGTCCTTTTCTTTTAAGGGGGTTTCCTATGTTTCCTCTCTGGTCTAGAGTCTAAAGTTTCTATTTTCGTGCTCTAAGCAAATCGTGCTGTGGTTCAAGTGGCTCTATTTGGTAGCCTCTTTCTTGCATAATTCATAATCTGAGTTTTGGTTTGATGTGTGATTGTTTTTTTTTTGGTTTGCTTTTGATTTGTGGTGCACTCTGCAAATAAATGGCGACAAGCAAAAAGAAACAAATGCAGACAACATTTAAATGAAATTTCAAATCAAAATTGCACAGTTCTCCAATATACTATATATATATATATTTAAATGTATTTTCGGTTGTGACAAATTTTCTAGTTTTATAGTTGGCCAAGTTTTTACATAAAAATAACCCAAAGGAAAAGCAAGCGAAAGCGAATTTCATCTGGCGGCAACACACAAAATATATTTGTAACAACATGCAACATAATTTGCTGTGTGATTTTTCATTTCGCCCCAACGGCCTGCCGGCCATTAAACATCAAAATTCCTCTGTTTTTGTTATTTTGAATTTATTTATAAATGTGCCTCGCGCGCGTTCTCCTCTCGGTTGGGAACTGGGTCAGCCCAGACCCCGAGACCGAGAACGACAAATTGCCACAAAACCAATTCAAAATCCATCCAAAAGGGGACTCTAGCCTTTTGGGAATTGTGGTTAGTATCGAGGTTGTATAAGGTTAATCTCACTGAATGTTATGCAAGTTTGACTTGTGCAGGGGTTATACAATTTATTTTGATTGGTTTATTGATTGAGTTTGGTTTTTCTTTATTTAAAGTTTTGTTTAGAATTCTGTTTAAGCAAAGTTAGCTTAGAAAATACTTCCAAGAAAATAGTTTCTTCATCTAGATTCTTGTGTTGTTATTAGCTAAATATTTTCTATAAAGTTTTACTAAGGCATTTTTAGCTAAAAGGTTGTGGTTAATATTGAGCTTGTGAACTTGCAAGTGGAACTGTAAGTTAAGGTTAAATTTAAGTGAATAATATCCGATTTTTGTTAGCTTTTTTTCTACTTATATAACTTGGTGCATTTTCTAAGTAATTCTTTACTTCCATGTAAAAATGTGGTATCTAAAATTACTATTTAATTAATTTCTATTTGTTACCTTTTTATTTTTCTTGAATATTAGTTTTATTTTATATTATTTTAAATAAAAATCACTGTTTAATTTATCTATATTTTTACCTTTTTATGTTATGTATATATTAAGATGAAAAGTAGTAAAATGCTGTTTTCATTAATAAAATTTTAAAAAGTAGTAAATTTATTAAATACAATTTACAACCAAAGATTTCTCTGCAAATTATTTTTAGAATATTATAAACATCTACAAAATAAATTCCAGGGATTTGCAAGAAATGTTTTTCCAAAAGTTCTGCTGGAAATATTTCAAAAATATTTCCGTTATTACAAACATTTCGATTTCATAAGCAGCTGATAAGTTCCAAACATTTTCCCCTATTCTTTTGTTGTTATTTTTTGCTTTGTTTATATCCACTTGATCTTGTGCTTCTCAAGAGTCCGTTAATCACGTAATTCTCTAGAGCTAAAAATACATTTCTTGATATTTTCTTCAGAGGGTAACCCTTGCATAAGATTTTAAACTGGGAAAAGTTTGTATTAAGAAAACATTTCACAATTGAGATGTAAATAAAGATGTTTTCCATCGTGGAAATTCTCTCTTTCCCTCTGAAAAGATAAGGCAAAGCTAAAGGAGCAAGTGCTCCTTCAGTCTCTAATTGACACTAATTGCCATTTGCAGCCAGCGAATATATATATATATTTATATACCCCTGGGCTGTCCGCTAAGTGAAATCCATTTCTCAGCCGAGAGACAAGGGAAATTGCATTTTCCAGGCGGGCCAATCAAAACCTATTCCTAATCCATTTAGGCTTCCTGTTCGCTCCCTAAGACATGCATCATTAGCCGCAGGAGGTGCCCCGGTGGTGTCCTGTCACATCCCATCTGGCCATGGTGTCCTTATCCACTTTGGCTCTCTAATCAGGTTACGCTCTTCGCCATCTTCTCATCCCCGCCTGCGCTTAAGTGCACTTTCTGTCGCTGACAAGCGACTTGATGAACTTGCAGTTTTTGGCCACGCTTTTCCCTCAAGTGTCCTGTCGAGCCTCGGTCTAAGCTCTCCCGCCCGAGTAATTAACTTGCGCGAATAATTAAAACATAAATAATTAAAAGAACGCCACCCTTGTTCACCCTTTTTTTTTTATTATTATTGTGTTTCTGCAGAACAAAAGATTCGGGCCAAGTCGCGCCCAAGTAAATAATGCAAAGTGTGCTTTGAAAAAAAACGAGGGGGAAAGAATAAATACATAAACTTGAAAATGTTTTAACGTGGCAGCATATGCGACAACAGCTTTGAGATAAGCAGGCTGAGGCACTGAGAGAAAATAAGGTATAGAATTAAGTGGAAAATAGGGTTTTTATGAGCTAAAGAGATTTTAAGGGAATTTTCTAAAGCCAGAAAATATTTTTTATACCCTAAACTCTCAAAGAAAATTACAGAACTATTCGGAAAACTCTATTACCTTTTGTTGAATTTAAATATAGTATATATTTATAAATTTAAATAAAATCTAAACAAAAAATTACTCAAAAATGTAAACCCTTTGAGTTCTCGGTTAAATCATTCCATTTGGCTTTAAGTCGCTTAAAGATCTAAGCAAACTTTCCCTGCTACTTTACGCTTGATTTGCCAACCATTTTGCCGCTAAACCGACAATCCAGCGATGCATTACTAGGACACACGAAAAAGGACTCGGAAATAGGGATAAAGGGTAAGGATAAGGGTATGGCCAAGGGGTAACGGGTACAGTAACGGGTACGGATAAGGTTGCCCCTTGCTGATTTCAGTTGCTGACCCATCCAGTCGTGCATGAAGCTCCTGGCCACATGATGATGAAGTCGTCATCGAAGGCTCCTTTGTCAGCAGCTTCAGCTTCGTTCTATGGTCCTGCCTTGCCTTGTTTGCATTCAATTGATGCCGCAGGCTAACAACAACATGGCCCAGAGGCCTCCAGTGCGTGGCTATGTGTGTCCTTCTAATTGGCCAACACACACACAGATACACACACACATATACATGGAGTTCCAGCGAGCCTTTAAAGCCATGGACTTTGCTATTAATTTTCATTTTTATGTTTATAGACTTTTCCCGGAATTCAATGCCATATTAGTAGGTGGAAAGGCTGGTCATTCGCTTTTATGGCCCAATATGACGGGGCCGTACTTTCTGGCCAACCTTATCGTGTGGCCTGTTGCTAGTTATTAACATAAATATGTATATATTAAAGCATATATATTTTTTGCTTCAATTTTTGTCATTGCTTTTGTTGTACTTGGTACTCCAGAGGGGTAAGGGTATATGGGTTTTCATAAAATTTAGAAATTAAAAAGCTAAAACGTCAACAAAATAATTTAGAAAATTATTAATAAATACAAGAGAATCCCAATCCATATTTTTCTTATTTTTTAATTAGTCAATTAAATATAACTTTGAAATTAAAAAGAATTAACCTTTCCTTTATAATATTTCCAATACTCCTTCGCCAAAAAGTAGGCAATATGTTTGACACAAACCTCCTGCCGGGTATTTTATAGTCGTGGCCATGTTTTATTTACTTGTACTCCCTAATCAGGCCACCCATTGACATGGATGTGGTTGTGAACAGATGATGACAGCTGGGCACGGTTCCAGGCAACTTAAGCTATCTCACAAAATGTGACCAAAAAGTGCGTTGGTCTGGGTTCACTTCAGCCTACCAATATCCCAAAAAAAAAATATAAAAAATCCCCGATAAAGTGCCATC